GCCTCCTCTTCTTTTCTAAATTAATTGTTTATTTAATTGACCTTACCGACTAATTTATTTATTATTTTTTACATGACCCTAATAGTGTAAGGTATTAAATAATGATCACTTTATCCCACTAACTCTCTATTAATTCCATTATTTATGCTTAACTATAAATAAATTAACTCAAGTTATACGAATATTTAAAATTTTCAAAAATTACCTTCTGGGTCATTACATTCGTCATATCATTTAAGCGTATGAATGAACTAATTTTAAGGTCTTGCAATGAGACATTTCCATATATCCATTGTTGACTTCCTATTTCATTAAGAAGTTTGGAATTACAAAATATATGGTTAAGTAAACAATAAAATAATAAATCTTTAATTGAAGATGATTTTTTATTACATACCTTAACTGAAGACTAACTAAATCTTTGAATAATGATGAAGCCACCCTCTCTAGAATTTCTTCAACAAAACCCTATTAATGGAATCAAATGCAGAAGATTTTAGGATCTAAACAAGTAGTAACAATTTAAAGAAGAATGTTGTGAATATTGTATGTGTTATACTAGAATAATGACATGTGTCAATTTTTGTGATTTCAACATTTGTCTTTTCTTCTTTTTGTTGTTATTTCCTTGTTTTATGTAAAACATTGATAAGTCTAATTGATAAAATTAATTTTTTTTTAGTAAAATAAACAAATACTATTGCAGCGCGAGTGAATTCTTTATTTGCAGACATATAAAGAAACAACATTATATCATTTAATTATGTTATTCCAACTATATTATTTCAAATATTTATATTTCATTATATATTGTTCTTATTATTTGTCATTATAAATTTTTAAAATCGAGTAATGAAAAGAGAGACACATACTTAGAAGATGCAACTTAATTAAATGATTGGATTTATAGAACAACTTTCAAAGCATTTTTGATACCCCTCATTTCAAAACATTGTTTTAGAGTGTAGCGTGTTAGCTTAGGGAAATGTATGCAACTGTTTGTCTAACACGTTCGAATAGCTAAACATACTTAGTAGTAGTAGTAGTATAGCAATTTTAAATTAAACAATGCATGATACATGTCAACCATAGATCAATTTTTTTTTTACATTTTAGGTATAAGTAGCATATCACTAGTGCAATATGAATAACATCCGTTTGACATCATTACAAGTCCAAATTATGTCAATTTAAATAAGTTACAAATCAAAATGAGTAATTCAAGTATTTTTTATCTTTGGCTTACTACATGAAAATAATCGTAGAACTCATAATAGTGAGAGTTCCGTAATAGTGAAGTGTTAAGCAAGGGGTGTAAGTAAAAAATAATGATGAAAAATATGTGGATTTGAAAGTAAGTCTTTTTTCTTTGTTTTCACATTGTTGAACTCTCTATTTTTGGTCCCCATTTTTTAAGAGATTCGTTTCTGAATGTGTTTTTCATTCTTAAATGTTCAAATTAGTTTATATTTTTTAGATCATATAATAAAATGCAATACTCGTAAATAAATAACTCATAAATAAGCCACAATTAATGGACAACAATTAGTTCATAGGAATATTTATAACAAGTAATAAATTAATGCATAATAAATAACACATATATGCCACAATTAATGATAACCATTGAGTTCACTGAAATTTTTCGGACCAATCACTAATTAATGTAAATTCCCTACATTTATTAATCTATATAATATGTAATCATGAATAAATTATTTATTTCACTTTTTTAGTTATCTTAAAAAACAATAACAATTTCATTGTTTATTTTTAACTATCGAATATCATCATGTTTATATTTGAAAAAATGGTAAATGTATCTCACAATTGGAGTGACACAGCTCACCCTGCAGGTGACAACAAATCTAGAATCTTCCATGAATAACCTTATTCAAGACCAAAAATTCCAAGTCACACAATTCTATTAAAAGTCATTCTATGAAACACTTCCTCTAAATAATCCCAATAATTTCCGAAATCTAAATTATGAAGAAGATTTTCCTTTCTTAGAAACGATTGAACATGTCATACTGATAAATATAGTTGAAAGAGTGGCTTTTATGTCATTCAAACACTTAATAAGTCTATGATTGAGGTAAATATATATAAACAGATTTCTTAAGTTTTGACTTCATCAATATTTTTTTAAATATTTATGTTTTTAATTTAACTCTATTAAACAATTTGGCTAGTGAAGAGAGTGTTCTCTAGAAGGTGACATTTCAGATCTCTTTTTATATTCTCTTGGTCTATTAGGACAAGAGAACAAATATAACAAAGGAGTTTGTTTATGACCAGGTGCGTGGATGCTAGAAATAAAAAAGCCCTGTACAAAATTGAAACAATATTTTTATATGTTTTTCAGCTTGCTATTTTCACTAAATTTTTCTATTTTCTTTTGTACTCACGAACTTAAAGATGCTTACAATAATGTTTCAGTGCTTCTTTTGACAGATGGATGTTTTTAAAAATAATTGTCCTGAGCTTGAATTGCAAAGGATTTGGGACTTTAAAAAAGGAGGACACAATGGAACAACATATGTGCTTGCCATTATTTTTATTTTCGCTGGAGCCAACAATAGATGTGACACGGTCGAGTTCATTGGCCAAATGAAGAATATTCCCTCAGAGAAGACAAACAAAAGAATGGAGGGACAATCTAATAACATTATTGACAATGTTTGAGTCCGTAATTTAATTTTTTGACGCAACTATAAGACCATTTTTGCTCTAGTGAACATGGAAGTCCTGTTCGAGTCAGTAGATGGCCTGCTGACAGTGACGAAGAACTTAAAAATTAACACTGTTACGGATGTACTTCTGATACTGAGGATGATCATATATTTGATGTTTTTCCTAAGGTTGGATTGTAATTTATCCTCCTTCTTTGCAACTTTTTGTAGGGGCTAAATTATACACATAAATTGGTATTTCTAAGTATTTTTAAGATCAATTTATGTAATTGTAATTTAGCTTTTTAAATATATGTATATATTTTTATTATTTTTATGAACTAATTATATTTGACTTTTAACTTACTTTCTTATTACTTTATATGTTTAAGTGGATCTTTATTAAAATTTTGTGATGAGACATTTCAAAATCCCATAAAGATAGAGTCTAACTTTTTCGAGACATATTTGAAAGAGTTGTTTTTTAAAAAAGTAATTAAAACTTACTACATTACCTAGGCTCGAACTCGCGACTTTTAGATTAAACGTTTAAACTCTTACCATTCGCGCTGCAATAATAACATTCGTTCATTTTTATGAAACGAAATGTGTATAGCTTAATATCAAGTTCTTCTATGTACTCTTCAGTTTACCTAGACGCTCCAAAAGTGCTTAAAATCTATTTTGCATAAAAACACTTAAAATAAGTTGCATGATAATATTGTTTCTCCATTAACAATCCAAATATAAACCTTTACAATGTTATTTATCAAAAATAAGAAAGTAAATTATATAAATACGAAAAGCTTCAAAGAGTCTATTTTTTTTAAATAACTTAAAATTAAGAGCTATAACCTAGATTCAAACTTGTGACATATAAACTAGTTGTTTAAGCTTTAACAATTTGCGCTGCAATAGCATTCATTCATTTTTACGAAAGAAAAAATTAATAAACAAATAAAATAAACATGTCACTTATTTATTTTTTGAATCTAATCACTTCAACTTTACCTTAAAAAAATTTAAAAATAAAAACTATTTCACATATTGTGTCACACACTTCACCCACCACGTGTAACAAATTCTTGAATGTTTCATGAATAACCTTCTACACAAATAACAAAAAAATTACAAGTTATAACTCACACATTTTATTCAAGAACACTCCACGAAATCCTTACTTTACAACAACCCAAAAATATTTTTTAAAACTTAATTATGAAGAAGATTTCTGCTATTTATGCATTTAATTATGTGACTTTAGTTAATTTATTACATGTTACAAATATTTCTATTTATTGGCTTTTGTTCATTAATTGTGGCTTATTTGTGAGCTATTTATATACGCGATGAGTAAACTAATTTGAACAGTAAAGAATGAAAACACATTAAAATGCATCTCTTAAAAAATTAGACCAAAAATTATAGAATTCAACAAAGTGTACTTATTCAAGCTGTCATTTGGCAGATGGGTCACATCCATTAAATGCATTACTTCAGAATTTCAATTTGTTTTTAAATTCACATATTTGTCATCATTATTTTTTACTTACACCACTTGCTTAAGACTTAACTATTACGTAACTTGCACTATTATGATTTCACAATTATATTAATGTAATAAGCAAATGATAAAAAAATACTTGGATTATATTCACTTTGATTTGTAACTTGTTTGAAATGACATAATATGTACTTATAATGTTGCCAAACGAATGGTGTTCGTATTGCACTGGTATTTGATCAAAACAAAAATCTTATTTTTGTGTTTTATTTCCATAACGTCATTTTAATTACTAATAAAACGCAATTAGGTGAATCCATGTGAATTACTATATTTTTAGTAATATGGTAAATGGAGACGCGAAAGCACCACGGCAAATCAGGCACATAATTCAATTATATACATGACAATAAGTAATAAGAGTATCATATTTATTAGACTTTGTTTATTAATAATATAGTGATTTTCATTAAACAACTTATATGAATTAGAGTAAATAATAAGAGTCTCATTTTATAAGATTGCTTAGTGATATTCATTAAATAACTTATTTGAACAATAGTAAATACATTTTCTATGGTAATTATTAATGACTTTTTTGCAGCGCGTATGATTAAAGCTTAGACGATTAGTATATAGATCACGAGTTTGAATCTAGGTTTAGGTCCCTATTTTAGGTTTTTTTTTTACAATTACATCTTTGAGTCAATTAGGATTTAAGTATTTTTAATTTTATATTTTTTTGAAAAATAAGATTGTAAAAGTTTATATTTGGATTGTTTTCACAAAATTTGAAGTCTAAATTTCTATAACTCGAATCATTATGATAATAACAATAATAAAACTAATAAATCCAATTGGGATAATAGTAATTTACAAATGGCCTAGTAAAAGTACAGAACTTGGTAACTTCTTCATCGCTACTACAACCATAACATAGGTATGCTTCATCAGATTCATCACTATCATATTCAGTTGGGGGAATATTAACTAGATATAATTGTGTAGTGCAACAACGTGGGAGTTCTATAACAAATACACGATTAGATACAAATTGTACCTAATATTTGTCGAAGACTTTGTTGACATTCCCTTGTTAATATCCTTTGTTGTTGCATTCCTTTCATATGGCCAATCGTTTCTATCCCATGTTCTCCGGTTTCACCCCTTAAAAATATCGAAATTAAGGCAAACACATATGTTGCAGCTTTGTGGCCTCCCTCAGATTCTCTTTCCAACATTTCAAGTGCTTCATCTGTACTTCCATTTTTGAAATAGTTCTTCTGAACATATGAACACAGAACAATAAATTAGAATGGATTAATGCGTGGATAAATTCTGTAACCAGCCAAATATATAAAAAAGAAATATATATGTATTACCACACATGTTCTATACAAGGCTTCATTATTTTCATATTCTATGCACCAGTTCATGAACGACTCAAAATATCTATAATTTTCATGGATTGGGAGCTGCAATGGGCTAATTGGAACGTCTAACATCGACAGATTCATATGAAACCCCCCGTTGATGACCTGTTTCGTTAAAAATGTTTGCAACTGGAAAATTGATGGGTTAGTAAACACAAAGTAAACAATAGAAAATAGAATAACTTCTCTGCTTTACCTTAGTTTAAAATTTATCATATCTTTGCATGATATCGAAGTCACCCTTTCTACGATCTGTTTTAATATTCCGGTATCTAGGTATTTGAAGAAGATCATATCCTCTTCATACTTTTCATTGTATGTAAAATTATTAGAATGCGAAGTGTGTACTTTTTGGGGATCTTCAGCTTCTTAAAATGTAAGAATTCAAAGTGCAAAGTGTGTAAAAGACGAGTTTGAAATTTCATCTACTTCTGACACCTTGCCTTAATTGAGTATCTACGTGGGAAATATTGTTTCATTTTCAATAAATCAATTAAGACTATCGTAATTTCCTTGAATAGTCACCCATGTTTGGAATATTACCTAGAAAAATCACTTATGTTTGTTTTAGATCCACAATATCACCCAACTTCACCTCTTTTCCTCAAAATATACTTCACACAAAAAAAAATATTATCTCTCTCCTAATAGGCAATCATGTCATATTATATTTAGTAACAAAAGATATATCTTTATAGAATTAAAAAAAATGTTCATAATAAAAGAAATAATGTTATTCTAACGCGATTGGTTAAAGCTTAATCAAATAATCAATAGGTCACGTGATCGAATCTAGGTTTAGGTCACATTTTTAGTTTTTTTAAAACAATTAGATCATAATAGTTAACTTTTTTGAACTAAACATTTTTTGTGGGAAGAAAAACAATTAATAACTCTATAAATACCCAATACCAATTTCTTTCTCATTCATACCAATGACAAACTTCACTCCACTGACTAATCCGCCCGTACCATGATTCAGAATCAGACTAAGTAGATCATATGTGACGCAAACAGGAATGGTAAAATATCATATTTCACTGTTTCTCGTTATTTTGTATATTTTTTTGTTATAAGCATATGAATCATGTAATAAATGTATTGTGTTTTAATTTTTATGCAGTGGATTCCACAATCAGTAAGTCGATATTTTTCCACAAACCTAACATATACGGTGTTCACTTTGTACATCCTGATAGTGCATGTGAATTTCAATAATACAATTTAATTGTAGGTGACAGTTGTATATCCAAGCGGCGGAGGTTTTCAGAGGGTTGACATGATTTTATTGTTGACGTGGGATTAGTTGAGGGAGAGGTATTAAAATTTATAGTTTGTCATACTGATGAGACCATAGTAGATATCGTTGTTTGTAAAGAAATTCATGAGTACCTTCTTGTGGATTTAATCAATGAAATAAAACTGATATGTATTTGCACATCTCCATTTATATGAAGCATTTTCAGTACTTACTAGTAATTGTTTTTTGAAAAGTTATAGTTAATCACTAACGAGTAATAGCATAATTAATATAAATCAAGAAAGTCAAAATATTAATAATCTTGAAAATAAATACTTTGACCTAGGAATTCTAATTAGTGTTGATTAATACAATACTCCTTCCGTTTATCCGTTATGAACCTAGAGTAGTTGATTCATCTTGCTAATATATTTAAGTCAATCTAGGAAATTAACATTAATTGTTTTATTGAATGTTATAGTTAATAATTAACTGTTAATACAATCATGTTTTAAAAATAAATACTTTGATCATTAAAAATCAATTATTCTTGAAAATATATGCGTAACATTTTCGGAGTGAAAATTCATGGTAGGAATTGTAAAGGTTATAATTTCTCAATGGTTGTCAAAAGGTTATAATCAAGCATGGTAAAAGGACATGTTTCCAATGCATTGGAAATGAATATTTATGATTTCATTGTTAAACATTAAAAAGGAACCACAAAATCTACCAAAGAAAACATAAGTTTCACCCACTCCTCTCTTGATATTTTCAAGATTTTAAAGATAATATTGATTTACAAAAATAAAATTAAAAATGTAAGCGTAATAATGCTAAAATATGAATAGTATATTTAAAATTGAATTATAATATAAAAGTTGTTGTCACGTCCTGAGTCTACATTCTGGATGTGATCGGCACCAAATGACCATTGTTGGCCTTGAGAGAACCCTTGTTCTAACTAAATTAACTCAACAGAAGACTTAAACACAAGAGATAACTCAAAAAATAACTTTGAAATAATACTTAGCCAAAATGACAACTCAAGTCTTATCATTTACAAGTGAGATGAAAAGACTAAACAAACTAACTCCATCTGTATATGAAGCCTCTGAAGTAAACATGAATGTTCGGACAGGACCCCCAATCATTTTAACAACTTAAAGCTTAAAAAAATAACTAAATGATAAATATGTCTTCCGGAATGAAAGGAGACTCAGAAATTGACTGTGAGCTGCTCACTGGATCAAAAGTACGCTGAATGTTGATCCCAATTACATGCTCTGCACATTATACAATACAGGACAACTGGAATACGAGTATGTATTTTGGAATGCTAACAACACTTAATCTTGAAAAGGATTAAGAAGCAACACTTACCTTGACTCTGTTCAACTCATGAACAACTAACTCATTTCAATATATGCAATTTAAAAGTATGTGCAATATAAAGAAAAACTATTTGAAAACATGTTGTAAATTTTAAATGTATACAAGGAAACAATTAACTCTGGGATGTACGTAAAAATACAAATAAACTGATGTATATAAGAAAAAAATAATTTCTGTAGGAGTTTCTCTAACCCACAACCATCATTTAAGAGCTACAATGATGATACAACTATCCACCTCACGCTCATCCTATACCCGCCCAAAGGTATAAGACCTAAATTGCCGAATGAACCCACTAGTCTACTGCACAAAGTGTTCATCTAAAAAGTATGACCCTTTTCTTCCCATGGTGGCTACATGGTTTATGGAGGCTAAGAGTTGTTTGAACTCTCGCCCATATTGGTGCTCAATTCTACTCGCAAAAATATGTAGTATCTTATGTTTTAAGTAAACATATTGATTTTGTGGTTTGAGATTAGTTCTCAAAATACTTAGATCTAAGGCTAGCTTGAAAATCTTAGTTTCTCTGCATGCTTCTTTAGAAAGCTATAGTTCTTTTCTAAAAACTCGTCCTAAGGCTCCTTGGAAATCAGAGTTTCGTTACTTGCTTAAATGTGAAAAAAAACATTTTCAACCCTCCTTGGGAATACTCAGTCCCCCTATATCTCTGAAGAAAAGAACTTCAACTTAACTCGATACTAAGCTTGAAACTTGAGCCTTAAAACAAAGTTAAAATGTTTAAGTCAGACTCTTGAAAACTTTAAGAACTATACTTTGACTTGCTTCTTAACTTTAGATTTGACTTATAGCTTATAGCTTCTTTGACTTTGATCCTAATTTTTCTTGAATTGAAATATGGATTCAAGGTTCATGATCTCATGTTTAAGGATGATATAATAATGTTTAGACGTACCTTAGAGTGTTAAAATCAACTAAGAAATGTGGGTACATCACTTTAAGAGCTAGTACGAAAATATAGGGAATGAATGGGGTGAACTGGCGTCCTTCGTGCTCTGAGAGGCGTGGGGCGCAAGCTCCCAAACTTCATAGGACAATTTGGGGCTCTCTGGGTGGCGCGCCTCCCCAAGTCCCTACGCACAGAGACTGTCCTTTGGGGCTATGGGAGGCGAGGCGCCCCTAGGCCCTACGAACGCGCGTTTCAACTTTTCTTCTCCGTTTTTTATTTCTAAACATTCTAAACTTCCATGGATCCTTCCCAAATCACTTAGAATCACTAATAACCTCAATATCTAATAAATTAGACCCAAAAAATAACCCGGAAACATGAATCAAATCAACTAAAGGCATGTAACAACTAAACCAACCAAATTAAAACAATGTTCTTCAAGAACATCATTTTCATCATTCAATCTACTCAAAATTCACTGAATTAAACAAGTTGGTGTGTGGGTGAACTAACTCAACACAGAAAATATCTCACATTCCTTTTCAGGGATCACCCCCGACGAATTCCACAAGCCGAATTTCAACGATCTTGAACGTTCCTGCTTCTTCTTCTCCTTTATCCTCTTTTCTCCTCTTCTTTTCTCTTCTTTCAAAACCCTAACTTTTTTTCTAAAAGCGTGAACTTATAGGATTAGTAAATACCCCAATTCAACCCAAAAATAAAATAAAATAATTGGATAAGAAAAAGACAAATTTGTGCTTCCCAAATCTAAATCGGACTATCCTTAATCTAACAGCCCAACTTCAGAAATGCATAACTCACTCATACAATATCGAAATCGAGAAAACTCGGCGGCGTTGAAAACCTATAATTAAGACTTATCTAGGAGTTACGACCATTTGAAGTTGACCAAAAATTCACTTTTCTCCAATCTAAGAAAATTTCCATATTCTAATTCTTTCCAAAAGTGACTATTTCAGCTTCTAAGCTTCTTCTAGCTATCTCAATTTGTGAGATGTTACAGTTTTAAATATATTAATTATTTATATACAAAAAAATGTGAAACTAATTTTATGCCTGTTTAGCTTATAAATGCATGTCAAAATGTTAATAGTCTTGAAATTAAATACTTTCACCTAGGTGAACCTAGATTAGTTGATTATTGATGAAAATCCTTTAGCTTATACATGCATGTCGGAGTAAATGTTATAGTTAATCACTAACGAGTAATAGCATAATTAATATAATGGCAGATAAATCAATTATTCTTCAAAATATATGCTTAATATTTTTGGAGTAAGTATTTGTGCTAGAAATTGTAAGAAGTTATAAATTCTTAAACGTTAGTACTAATTAATACTCATTCCTTTATGAACCTGGAGTATTCCATTAACAAATTCACTGTATGATTAAACAACAAATTGAATGTCTCGAAGAAAACATTTGAGGTGGGACATCAACTAATTTAACAAATACTACTATAAATATCCAATACTATATCTCAATTTACACCATATTCTAATCTCAATAAACTCATGGGAGACTTTACTCCAGTGTGTAATCCACCTTTACCTTTGTTCAAAATTAAACTAACTTCATCATATGTCTTGTTAAGTGGATTGGTAAATTTTCGCATATTACTATTTTTCTTTTTATTTCTTCATTTGTTTGTTTTGTAAGATAATGAATTAATTTGTTTGTGAATTTTTTATTTATGTAGTGGCTACCGCAATCAATTACTCCATATCTTTCCACGGACTCAACATTTACGTTGTTATCTTTCATATATCGTGGTAGTGAATGTAGAAATCTATAACATTTATCTATAGGCGCCTCTTGTTTTACCAATTGACGGAGGTTATCATAGGATTGACATGACTTTGTTGTTTC